GCCTACCAAATGGGAGAAGATACTCTTTTTAAGATTTTATTTCTTTTAGTGATAGAAAGATGCAAGCAGGAGGGGAGGGACAGAGGGAAAAAGAGAGAGAATCTTTAGCAGACTCCACGCTGAGCATGGAGCCCGTTGGAGGGCTCGATCTCATGACCCTGAGATCATGACCTGAGCTGAAATCAAGAGTTGGGCGCTTGACCAACTGAGCCACCCAGTTGCCCCCAAGTGGGAAAAGATATTTGCAAATCAAATATCCATTAAGGGGTGAATACCCAAAATCTGAACTTATACAACTCAGCACCAAAAAACTTGAAATCATCTGATTAAAAACAGGCAGAGAATCTTTTTTTCCAAGAAAAGATAGACAGATGGCCAATTCACACATGAAAAGATGCCCAATATCACTAATCATCAGGGAAATGCACATTAAAACCACAATGAGATAGTACTTTACACCTGTCAGAATGACTAAAATCAAAAAGACAAGAAATAACAAGTGGTGTTGAGGATGGGAAGAAAAAGGAACGCTCATGCACTATTGTGGGAATGGAAATTATGTAGCCACTGTGGAAAACGAAATAGAGGTTCCTCAGAAACCTAAAAACAGAATTACCATATGATTCAATAATTCCACTACTGGGTATTTACCCAGAGAAAACAAAAACTTTAATTCAAAAAGATACATATACACGCACCTATGTTTATTGCATTATTTACAATAGCCTAGAAATGGAAGCAACCCAAGTGGTGTCTGTAAATGAATGGATAAAGAAGAAGTGGGACATTGGTATAGCACATACACACAATGACATACATACAATGGAATATTACTCAGCTATTAAAAAAATGAAATCTTGCCATTGTGACAACATGGATGGACCTAGAAGTTAGAAATGCTAAGTGAACTAAGTCAGAAAAAGACAGATACCATATGATTTTTCTCATACGTGGAATTTTTTTAATAAAGATTTTTACTTATTTATTTGACAGAGATCACAAGTAGGCAGAGAGGCAGGCAGAGAGAGAGGGGGAAGCAGGCTCCCCGCTGCTCAGAGAGCCCAGTGTGGGGCTGGGTTCCAGGACCCTGGAATCATGACCTAGCCGAAGGCAGAGGCTTAAACCACTGAGCCACCCAGGCACCCCTCATACGTGGAATTTAAGAAACAAAGAAGAAGAGACCAAAAAACCCAGACTCTTAAATACAGAGAACAAACTGGAGGTTGTCAGAGGGGAGGTGGGTGGGGGATGGGTAAAACAGATAAAAAGGTTTAAGAGTATTCTTATCTTGATGAGCCCTGAGAAATGGCGTGGGGGAGAAATATATATATATACACACACATATATACACACACACACACATATATATATATATATATAATTACAGTGATGTTGCTATTTACTGTTACTGGATATTTCATTATTATAAGGCAGTTTTTTAAAAAAATTTATTTTATTTTATTTTTTTAAAGATTTTATTTATTTATTTGACAGAGATCACAGAGAAGCAGGCAGAGAGAGCAAGAGAGGGAAGCAGGCTCCCCGCTGAGCAGAGAGCCTGATGCAGGGCTCGATCCCAGGACCCTGGGATAATGACCTGAGCTGAAGGCAGAGGCTTCAACCCACTGAGCCATCCAGGCGCCCCAAGGCAGTTTTTTAATATATACAGTGAAAACTTAACAAGCTTTTTATGACCAGTCTACCAAGATGGACTTAGCTGCAGAATTAATTTCAGCATATTGTTTATCCATCTAAAAATTGGTTGTGCATTGAGACCTTTTGCAATGCAAGGGACACTGTCAACTTAAAAGCCATTTTAGATGGAATTATACTTTTTAATAAGTTAGTAAGGTACTATGTTTATCATCTTCGGATTGGAGGTCTTGATGCAGTTAAAAGTATCCAAAAGCTTAAGTGAATATTCAGTTAACAAAAATAATTTTCATGTGTTTTGGCTGTAATGCCTTCCTGAAAACTGCAATTATTTAGTGTGTCACAGGTGAAGGCTGAAGCCAAATATGAGTCACTTCTTCATTATTTGCATTAGAAGCCACCTTTGTACCTGGAATGTTACTGGCATTTCTCTTTCTTTACCTCTTTGTCATTTCCCTGATCAAAAGCAAACTTCTTTTTTTCTTTTTAATTTTTTATTTTATTTATTTATTTTTTTAATTTGGAAAACTCAAAGAATTTGTGTCTGGGAAGAGCAGTAATATGAGAACTCTAGGTGCGTAAGGAAGACCAAAGCATGTTCTCAAGGCAGCTGCGAGCCGTGTTTTCCCTGTTCCATTTTGTCTTTACGTACAATGCCAGCTACATATAATTGCTATCACGAATAGCGTTTTATTTCTTGGAATTCAGCCTGTTAGCACAAATAATCCCTAATAAGTATGAAGCTAGTTTAAGGCTCTAAAACAAAGCCAGAGTTTTCTCTCTTGTATCTCCTCATCTTGGCTGATTCTGAAGTTGGTCGACATGCAGAATGTTAGAAACAAGTCACAGATCTATCTTTTCAGATTCCAGGCACATAGTTTATATACCATACTCTTTCCACTTTGAGGACTGAGCTCATAAGACAGCAGAAAGGTCCAGTGTTCGGCCATATCTTTTTTTATTCGTTGTCCTGAGTTCATCTCCCTCTGAAGTACTTTTAACGGGATGCTTCCTTTTTTTTCCCCCTCTCCAACATTTCAGTAAAGGGAAAATAACTCTGGAACAGCCAGTAAAATTTATTGAAAGATACTAATTGCCTTGTCCCCGAGGGGCAGTGTCTGTAGTTAGACACTGAACCACGGGTTTCTTTTTTGGCAAGAGAATGGACATGCACTACAAGAGAGAATAAGTGAATGATTTCAGTGAAATGTCTCCCCAGAGATCTGTGGGTATCAGAAGGAAGAGGAGGGAGCGTTGTACCCAGTTTATCATCCAAATTTGTTGTTCCCTCTGAAGCAGAGTCTGTTCTTCCTCAGATCAATTTGAGACATTCTGTGTCCCTGTCTTTGATTGGCGAGACCTGAGAACAGCTAGTGTGTGAAATTCCTCAAGGTTAAGATGACGGTTAAGGTAGGATGGATGAAGTGAAATGTGTTTCCATTTTTCATCCTCCGCTGAGGCTAGCGGTCTAAGGCGTTATGTGTATACTGTGTGCACCCTTTCAGATGTTCTCACTTGAGATACTTGAATATACGAGACAGTAAAAGTTATTGCTTCCATTCTGATTTGTTAGTAACATTGTGTGTGGGAGTGCCAGCTGGGAAATACTACCCGGGAAGCTAGTGGAGCCCCGAGTGTGCCTTGGGGAAGAGATGACACCTACATTATTTGTCATTGGACCATTATACACCAAATGGCTGAGGTGCTGACTCCAAATCAGCTACTTAGTTTCCCTAAGGGACAGAGTGCCACTGTGTGAGCTGCCAAACAAGAAAGAAAAATCGAAAATACAAAAATATATTTTCAAATTAAGTAAGTTGTCTTCAAAACAACCTTGCTTGAGCTTAACACTGTGAACAAAGCATGAGGCTTTTCCTCCTCTGAGAAGCTCCAAAGAGTATTGACCTTAGTGTTCAGCTTCCTGATTGTGATGTCCCAGAGTACACAAAACTGTGGCTTTCCCAGACAGACAATTAAATTTAAATGCAAAAGACATTAAGAAACATTAAAGTATGTAAATCAGTGTGTGATTCATAGTAACACAAATGCTCCTGCAGTGAAGTATTTCAGAGTTCATGGTTTCCCTAATCATCTCTTCATGGCTGTTTTGTTTCCTGGCTTCCTAATGCTAAGACATCATACCATCTTTTTTTTTTTTTAAATATCAAGTGCTGAGAGAGTTCCTAGGGAAAAGTGGTGTTCTCAGAGGTAAACAGGATCCAGATCACTTAAGGTTTATTGATTTTATGATCAGTACTTAGGTTGCTGCTAAAAGCAGATAGGTTTTCCAATACATATCTGAAACCGTAGAGGGCTTTCCACTCCATCCATCTTCAGGAGCAGGGAAGAACTCGCTTTGCTGGCGATTACTAAGGAAAACTCAGACATTGTTAGGGTCACTCATCTGTGGAATACCAGCTTAAACTAATATAAAATACTATTATTTAACTCTGATGAAAAAGAAGCAGAGTGATTATCAAAGGATCAAAGGGGAACTTAAAGCTTTTAGAGGACTTGCATCTCATCTCCATTACTGGGTTTTGTACTTGTAACATTTGGTTGGGGTTTATTTCTTTGCCAGATGGTACTGATGTTAAGAGTGCTTTGATGATTATCCCCATTTTTGTGGTTTGCCACCCCATTCTGAATTGGTTAATTAATCACCCACCTGGCATTGTTCTTATATAATGCAGTGAAATCTCTTTAATGGGAATTTATAGAATAAGTTGAGAGTACAATAAAACTTGTTAATCCAGAGACTTCCATTATTTGGAATTTGTGATTACTTGATTTGCGCTCAACTGGAATTTCTCTTTAATATCTGTAAAATAAGAGCCTTGATAATACATTGTTCTAGAATTTTTACTTTCATGAATGGTATTGGAATGGATAGAAGGGTAGTCCCTGGAGAAGGGAGAAGAGACAGTCCACAGTATTAGGGTTGTTCCTCAGTTTGATTTGAGAATCTAAAGCAAGAGAGTGTCTTGAGGCAGAGGAGCAGAAACAGCCTACAAGGCAGAACGCAAGGAAGGATTTCAAAAGGAATGTCTTCACATATCCATATTTCATGGAAAGCAACATTATAGAAAAGAATGTTAGGACAGAACTGAGGAGACTTCAAATCGTGAACTGGAAGGAATATCCAAATGTGAGGTCTTATTAGTATTTGGGAAATTAACACCTGGAAGATGAAAAGTGTAAGAAGAAAGGTACTTAAACAGTCAAATCTCCCATGTCTTGCAAAGGGAATAAAACTTTAGTAATGTATACAGTCTTTCTTAAATATCTTTAGGTCTTTCTGTTAACTGATTCATTTGAGTAAAAACTACTGCTTTTGTCCTTAACAGGGCCGATGGGAGAGTCAACAGGATGTATCACAAACTGCAGTCTCCAGAGGAATAGCTCCAGTTGCCCCATCCCTTCCTGACTGTCCCCCAAATAACCATCCTCCTGACCCAGGTAAGTTATATTTTCATTTGTCAGCCACTCTCAGGAAATTTGAGCATCTTTCAGAAATAGTTTAAATCAGGATTTCCTACCACATAACTACTGACCTCCTAGTTAATGTCATCTGATATTTCCCTTTTTTGCCTTATCCTGTTGAGTTACATTGATTTGAATGTTGAGTTTATATTGCATTATATTATCCTTCTGATAAATACCACTTGAACATGATGATCTTTCATATATACTTGATTCTATTTGCTAATATTTCGTAAAGGATTTTTTTTAAAGATGTTATCTATTTATTTGACAGAGATCACAAGTAGGCAGAGAGGCAGGCAGAGAGGGGAGGTGGGAAGCAGGCCCCCCGCTGAGCAGAGAGCCCCATGGGGGGCTCCATCCCAGGACCCTGAGATCATGACCTGAGCTGAAGGCAGAGGCTTAACCCACTGAGCCACCCAGGTGCCCCTCGTAAAGGATTTTTGTGTATGTGTTCTATGGTGAATATCTGCTTCTCTGTTATCATCATTTTTTGTTAGGTTTTGGTATCATGATTATGTTGGCCTCATGAAATGACTTGGGAAATATTTCCTTATCATCTTTTTTTCTGGAAGATTTTATGTACTTAGTATTGCTTCTTCCTTAAATGTTTGACAGGACTCACCAGTGACACTGTCTGGGCCTAGAATTTTCTCTTTGGGAAACTTTTAAATTATGACTAATTTCTTTAATACAGGGTTATTTAACTTCTTGTGTTTCCCTATGAGTCAGTTTTCATAAGTTATGTTTTCAGGGAATTTTCTGTTTCATTTAAATTTTAATGTTTATTTCAGTAGATGTTACAATGTTTCCTATTGCCCTTTTAATGTTTGTAGGATCTGTTGTGGTGTTCCTTCTTTTTTTTTATTTATTTATTTGTTTTTAAGAATTTTCTTTTTTCTTTTTTAAGATTTTATTTATTTTTTTGAGAGAGAGAGAGAAAACACAAGCTGGGGAGAGAGGCAGGGGGAGAGGGAGCCGTAGACTCCCTGCCGAGCAGGGAGCCCGATGCAGGGCTCCATCCCAGGACAGTAAGCAGATGCTTACTGACTGAGCCACCCAGGCTCCCCTTCTTTTTATTTTTGACAATTTTTCTTTCTGGTTTTCTTGACTACTTTTTTTTTTTTTTTAAGATTTTATTTATTTGACAAAGATTACAAGTAGACAGAGAGGCAGGCAGAGAGAGAGGAAGGGAAGCAAGGCTCCTTGCCGAGCAGAGAGCCCGATGCGGGGCTCAATCCCAGGACCCTGGGATCATGACCTGAGCCGAAGGCAGAGGCTTTAACCCACTAAGCCACCCAGGCGCCCCTTCTTGACTACTTTTGAGACTGGTTTTAGTTTTCTCAGTCTTCTCCCAGAACCAAATCTGATTTACTTTCTTTATTGTTTATTTTCTGTTTCATTGATTTCTATTTCTTTCTGCATTTCACAAATTTTGAAATGTGGTGCTGTCATTTTCATTCTATTCAAAATATTTTCTGATTTCCTTTTGATTTATTCTTTGACCCATAGGTTATTGGAGTAGCATGTTAATTCATTTTCATATGTCTGGGGGGACCTTCTTTCTATTAATTGATTACTTATTTAATTTCATCACGATCTGAAAGACTTTAATATTTTAGTCTTTTGGGTTGTTTTTGAGACTGTGTTCTATCTTGGTAAACATTCTATGCGTGCTTGAAAAGAAACTATTCTGTTGGGGGGCATAGTGTTCTGTATATATCAATTAGGTCAAGATGGTTGATAACCTTGTTCACATCTGTTCTTTAAATATTCTGTTCTACTGATTTTTTTTTTCTATTTACTCTATCAGTCACTGAGACAGAGGACGTTAACTCTCCAAATCTGATCATGAAAATTACCTATTTTTCCCTTGATAATCTATTAGGTATATACATATTTAGGATTGATTTTTTTTTTCCCCAATGTTTCTATCATTATGACTGTCCCTTTGTATCTTTGGAATTCTCTTACTTTGAAATCTGTCTTACCTGATATTAATATAGCCACATCAACTGTCCTTTGCTTATTGTGTGAATGATGTATCTTTTTCTCAGTCTTTTAAATTTTGGCCTGTATTTGTTCTTTAAATTAAAAATGATTGTCTTGTAGCCAGCATATGGTTAGGTCTAACTTTTTTCTTTTTATCTAGCCTGAACAAATTCTGCCTTTTAATTGGCATGTTTAGTTCTTTTACATCTAATATTATTATTGTTAGGTTTGCCTCATAGCTGCTGGTTTCTCTTTGGCCTTTCTATTTTGTTCCCCCACTGTAACTTCTTTTTTGCTTTCTTTTGGGTTAAATGAAAACTATTTTTTAGTATTTAATTTTATTTCCATTTCTGGGTTTTTGGTATTTTTATATTTCTTTGTTAAAGTCTTTGCTCAAGGACTGTAGTATGGATTCTTAACTTATCATAGTCTACTTAGAATTAATAATATATCACTTCCCACTGCACAAATATTAGAACCTTGTAAGGGTATAATTCCATTTGCCTGTTCCCAACCCCCCCTTATTTTGTTTTCTTATTGTTGTATCTTTTACAGTTATTATGAACCCATTTTACAATGTTATTCTTTTTGCTTTAAAATAGCTACTGTCCCCTGGGGCTAAAAATACATTATATGTTTATTAAAAATTTAAAAAAATAACCACTGTCTTTTAAGGAAATTAAAGAGACTATAGATAATCTTTTATATTTTCTTCATATTTATTATTTCTGGCACTAGCTAGTTCTTCCTGAAGTCTCATATTTATCTGATATCATTTCTCTTTAGCCCAAAGAATATTCTGCAGTATTTCTTATTGTACAGTTGTCTTAGGAAAGAGTGCTCTCCCCTTTTTGGGATTATCTTTATTTTACTTTTTTTGGTAGGATTTTTCCACTAGCAGCACTTAGAAATCTTAGATTATCTTTTAGATTTCTTTTCTGCTGAGAATCAGTCATCATTTGTGTCTCTTTTCCTTACATGCATTATGTGTCTGTTTACACTGTTACTTCGTTTGCTTTCATAGTTTTCTCTCTTTTTGTTGGACTATGATATACTTAGGTATAGTTTTATTTGCTCTTACCTTGCTTGCATTTCATTGATGTTCTTGGTTTCTGTAAGTCGAAGTTTTCTATAAATTTAGGAAATGTTCAGCTATTATTTCATTAAATTATTCCCCTGACCATTTTTCTCTTTCTCCTCTTCTGAGAATCAAATTACACACGTTAGATTGCTTACTATTACCCTACAGATCACAGAAGCTCTGATTTTTTTAACTTTTATTTTTTATCTTACTCTTGTTTCTTCTGGTTGCATAATTTCTCCTGCCATTTCCAACCTTCTGTTAAGCACATCCAGAGAATATTTTATTTCAGTTACTATTCTTTTCAGTTCTAGAATTTCCACTTGCTTCTTCTTTTAAAGTTTTAATTTCTCTGTTGATATTCTCTACCTGTACATTTGTTAAGATCAGATTCTTCTTTTCTTCCTTGGACCTGTGTATAAAAGCTGCTTTAAAGTCTTTATCTGCTGAATCCAGCATCTGGGCCATCTCATGGTCTATTTCTCTTGACTGCTTTTTTCTTGACATGGGTCATATTTAATGAGTTTTGCCCATTGTATACCCCAGTCAAGATATACAAGATTTATATGACTCCAGTTTCTCTCCACAATCAGCCAATGTTCTGATTTCTATCCTTTCAGATTAGTTTTGCCAGTTCTATAATTTCATACAAATGGAATCATACAGTATATACTCTTTCTGTGTTTGGCTTCTTTTATTCATCATTTCTATTTACATCTCCATACCACAGCATCCTTCAGTAATTTATTTTATTTTATTTTTTTAAAGATTTTATTTATTTGACAGAGAGAGATCACAAGTAGAGAGAGAGAGAGAGAGAGGAGGAAGCAGGCTCCCTGCCTAGCAGAGAGCCTGATGTGGGACTCGATCCCAGGACCCTGAGATCATGACCTGAGCTGAAGGCAGAGGCTTAACCCACTGAGCCACCCAGGCAGCCCAGTAATTTATTTTTTATTCTTGAGAAATACTTCACTTTTATGGTTGGATTTATCATAATTTTTAATTAGTTCTTCTGTCTGTGGACATTTGGTTTGTTTTCAGTTTTTGGCTACTGTTAATAAAGTTTGTTCTTGCATAAGTCATTTTGTGAACATTTCTCTTGAGTTAATACCTAGGAGTGAAATTACTGGCTCATAGAGTATGACCTTGTTTTAAAGTTCTGTAAAAAAAAAATTTTTTTTATTTTTTATTTTATTTTATTTTTTTTTTTTTTGAGAGAGAGCATGCATGTGTGCATGCCAGTTGCAGGGGGAGGGTCAGAGGGAGAGGGAGAGAGAGAGTCTTAAGCTGAGCATGGAGCTCAACATGGGGCTCCATCTCCCAACCCTGAGATTATGACCTGAGTCAAGATCATAAGTCGGAGGCTTAACCAACTAAGCCACCCAGGTTCCCCAAATTTGTTGTTTTAAAAAAACATTGTGGGGTGCCTTGGTGGCCCAGTCAGTTAAGAGTCTGAATCTTGGTTTTGGCTCAGGTCGTGATCTTGTGGTCATGGGATTGAGCCCGCAAAGGGCTCTATGCTTAGCTTGAAGTCTGCTTCAGATTCTCTCTCCCTCTTAATTTTCGTCTTTCTTTCTTTCTCAAATAAATAAATAAATAAAATCTTCAAAAAAAAATTCATAATAGAGGCACCTGGGTGGCTCATTCAGTTAAGCATCTGACTCTTGATCTCAGCTTAGGTCTTGATCTCAGGGTTGTGAGTTCAGGTCCCATGTTGGGCTACACACTGGGCTACTGAAAAAAAAATAATAATAAAATTAAATAATGTGCAATTAATGCTTACTTGGTTTACATATTTACTACTTTGCTTTGCTCATCATTGTTTCTTGCATCTCACTTTGTTCTTCTGAGTTTAATTTCTTTTTTGTGAATTATATCTTTTTTTGTAAAACATCAGTACATTTAACAATCATCTGTTAGTGACAGGCCCTTTTTTATTTATTTATTTTTAAAATATTTTATTTATTTATTTGACAGAGAGATCACAAGTAGTCAGGCAGGCAGAGGAGGAAGCAGGCTCCCTGTGGAGCAGAGAGCCCGATGCGGGGCTCGATCCCAGGACCCTGAGATCATGACCTGAGCCGAAGGCAGCAGCTTAACCCACTGAGCCACCCAGGCGCCCTCCTTTTATCTTTAAATATTTGTACATGTATCTCTAAAGCAACACCCCCAATAACATTGCACTCTTAAGAAAATTTAAAAATAAGTCCCCAGTATCTTCGAACACTAATCAGTGTTTGTATTTCTCCAGTTGGAACAAAAATACTTTTTAGTTATTTTGAAGTCATATATACTCTGATGAGTTGGTATGTGTCTTGAGTTAAAGTTTAATGTATATGTTCCTCTCCCCTCCCCCCATTCATTGTATGTGGTGAAGAGACTGTCTTTGTACAGTAGACTTTGTATGTTCTTACTTTGCTGGTTATATCCCCATGAGGTTTTTTAAACATGGTTCTCTGTCTACCATATTTCCTGTGAATTGGTGGTTAGCTCTATAATCTTGAACAGATTCAGGCCAGTTTGAAGGAGGTATGGGAAGTAGTTTTGTGTATTTACCAAAGGAGACACATCATGTCTGATTGACTCGCTTTGTGTTATATGCAGCCTTTGATAGATTATTGGCTAGATCTTTAATTAGGGGTCGTCTTCAGTGTATAATGTTAATTTCTTGTATATAGGACTTTAGATTTTCCTTATTTTTTCTTCAGCATTTAGATGATTATATTCTTCTGGCTCTTTATTCATCTCAAACTTATTTTCTGTTTGTTTTCTTTGTTTTGTTTTTCTCTTTCCTATTTTTGCCTTCTTGTAAATTAATTGACTTTTTTGAACTCAGTTTTAACATAACTCTTAGTATTTATAGCTATCTCTTTGCTTTCTGTTTTTAATGGTTGCTCTCATGATTATAAAATATCCTTACCTTTTCACAGTTTACTTAGATTTAATATTACAATACTTTATGTAAAAAGTACAAACCTTGGAACTGTATGGGTCCATGTACCAACTGTATTACCAATGAACTTGGAGACCTTTCAGGGGTTACTTTAGGGGTAGAGGTACACGAGTAGTTGTGTGTTCTCTTCAGGCGGTATCACACACAAATTCCTCAGGTTGACTTCCTTGTTATTTGTCAAGGGTTATTTGGGTACAGTGTTTTATCATTTATGAGTTAGACTACATTTTCCTAGAAATTTAGTTTTATTCACTAAGGGAAAAGAAATCTTACATCATAGGCATCATCTGCATGTCTGATCCTAGCCTTTGGTAATTTAGAGCATGTTTGTTTAGGGCATCAATCCCTGTCTTGTGAAAACAACTGAAACATCACCCTCTTTCTAAAAGGTCCATTTCATTATCTTTATTCAGTAAGTAGTATGAAAAACTAAAATTGTAGAAGACATAGTCCCTGACTTCAAAGACTTTAAAATCTAGATAGAGAGCTATACATGTGTGTTATTAGCTGTGTGATTTATTTTTTTTTAAAGATTTTATTTATTTATTTGACAGACAGAGATCACAAGTAGGCAGAGAGGCAGGTGGAGAGAGAGAGAGGAGGAAGCAGGCTCCCTGCTGAGCAGAGCGCCCGATGTGGGACTTGAACCCAGGACCCTGAGATCATGACCTGAGCCGAAGGCAGAGGCTTAACCCACTGAGCCACCCAGGCACCCCAAGCTGTGTGATTTAAAAATGAAAAACCCCATCTTACTCTGGGGCAGAAGTTAGTGACAAGGACTGGGGTTGGATTACCCTTCAGATACTAACAGAAACACTGGATATTAGAATATTTTAGAACTACCCGAATTGCTGTTCTTTAATTGGAAAAAGGAAACAACATTGTGTTTGAGGGCAGCTATAATACTACTACATTTTTCTAACATTTTTTAAGGATACCTTTTAAGAATTTATATTATTAGATTCAGTACAAGTAAAATTTGGCAAATTTATAGGAGAGAAAATGTCTACATTGTTATTTACATTTTATCTCTTTTCCTATCAATATTGTTGACAGGACTTAGTAGCCTAGCGGCCTCCTACTTGAATCCAGTAAAATCCTTTGTGCCACAGATGCCAAAGCTCTTGAAGTCTCTCTTCCCTGTCCGCGATGAGAAAAGGGGCAAACAGCCTTCTCCCCTTGCACATCAGGTAAAAGCATCAGGAAAGCAACAGTGAACATTTCTAATTCCTCGCGGAATGATACTCTGTGTTGCACTGACGCTGGGGGGAGAGGGGTAACAGGGATGGGAGCCCTTAAAACTGGGCTTTTAGGCCTAGTAAAAGCTTGTGATTGTTTCTCCTCTACTCTCTTCTGAGGTAACAGAGCTGTTGAAACTTATTGACAGTCTCAATCCTTTTTGCTTTTAAAAAATGCCGAGTACACTGCTAATGTGATTTATGGTAATATTACTTAGAGCAACAATAGTAAAATTTATGAAGTGCACTTAGTGTTGTTTGTGTATTGCCAAACAGAAAATGTAATTCTATTTTTAATTCTTGATTTCATTTCTTATTTCAAACAATTTTATATCATCACTGTCCTTCCCTCTCCACTTCTTTTTCCTCTGCTGTGGTTTACCCGTTCCTTCATTTAAAATATTAAAAGTGATCACTTGTCTTTATTTCCCCCTTTTCTTAAAACTCTCTATCCAGCCTTTAGATAAGTTTTAGAGAAAAATTTTAAAGGATTTTCCACATAATCAGGAAACTGCTCTTATGCAATGGTGAATGGGAAGCCTGTTGGAAATGTAATTTCCAGTCTTATATAGGTGTGAATTCAGCAGAAAATGATAAATGAGGATTTACTTATTCTCCTTAAAAAACACATACAGTGCAAGTGCTGTTGTTGAAATAGGTCTTTTGACATCAGCTTATCCACATTCACGTAAAGCATTCATAATTGCAGAAATGCGGGTAAGTCCTTGTCCGAGACGTTAACTATTTAAAGGAATTATCTGAGTTTGTGAATGCATATTCAGGGATAGTGGTATTAGTTTTGTAAGGCTGCTCTACAGATAACATGATTTTTTTAAATTTAGCATTATCTAAAAAATGTACTTAAGCAGACATGTACACATACTGTATGAAACAAATAAACATCACCATTTTGGATGTTTGAACTAAATTTAACTAAGTACATAAGGAGTGCTTGACAGTTACCAAAGAATCTATGACTACGAGACCTACAAGAAATAGCAAGTCTAATACTTGGTTGGGGTTTAGGCAAAAATGGTTTTTCCAAGGATTTGCTGTTGCGTATATTACTCTGTCTTAAACTTCCATGTCATTGTTTTGTAATGTATGATGCATGGGGACTCTGTCAGAATTTCCATGGTAGATTTTTAAGAAGGTGACTTTAAAAGCAACAGTAGGGGGCGCCTGGGTGGCTCAGTGGGTTAAGCCGCTGCCTTCAGCTCAGGTCATGATCTCAGGATCCTGGGATCGAGTCCCGCATCGGGCTCTCTGCTCAGCAGGGAGCCTGCTTCCCCCCACCCCCTCTCTCTGCCTGCCTCTCCATCTACTTGTGATCTCTCTCTGTCAAATAAATAAATAAAATCTTTAAAGAAAAAAAAAATAAAATAAAATAAAAGCAACAGTAGGGGCGCCTGGGTGGCTCAGCGGGTTAAAGCCTCTGCCTTCGGCTCAGGTCATGATCCCAGGGTCCTGGGATTGAGCCCCGCATAGGGCTCTCTGCGAAGCAATGAGCCTGCTTCCCTTCCTCTTTCTCTGCCTACTTGTGATCTCTGTCTGTCAAATAAATAAATAAAATCTTAAAAAAAAAAAAATAAAAGCAGCAGTAACAGCCTGACCTCATAACCCAGACCCCGTCTGGGGTACCTTTATAACCTGTATTTATAAGTACCCAAGGGGACTCGAGCAAAATGTAAAGTTGGATAACCACCCTTTTTCAGTTGCTGTTTGCTGAAGACAGTGTTCTAGAAGTTAAAGGAAATTGGCGTGGCATCAGAAGTTATTGAATCAGACTGCTATAGTTACAGTTAGTTTTTAAAAACTACTTTGAGTTTTTGATATGGCAGGTCAGAACACCTGCTACAATAAATTGTTTTTACTGTTTTGCCAGTAAATGATTGGTTCTTCTGGATATAGAGGAGGAACAATCACGTGTTAGAAATAAATATAGTGATGGCAGATAACTGCATTTTGTAATGTTCAGTTTAGGAAGGGCAATCTTGAGATGAGTTTGAAGATCTCTTGTGTAATATTTTGTCCATTTGGTTTACTTTTTTTGAGCATATATGACCAAAGATACTGGAAAAAGTTGCCCTAGATATTTTATATTTTATAAATAGATGAAAATATAAATACAAAACTGGTTTTAATGAAGACACCCAGTGGTGAAGCTAAATGGTCCATTTGGTTTGTGAAACCCGCACTCCACTGAAGGGCCTTCTCTGAAGGTCACCAGGGACCTGCATCTTGCCTTCACCATTCCAGTGTCCTCCTCTGACTTGACATCGTACTTGAAACACTTTCATCTCTAGGCGTCAGTGTGGCGACATTTGCTTGGTCTCCTCCTGCTGACCGCTCAAATCCTTCTCACTTGCCTTTTCTGTGACCATTTATTCCATCAGGCTGCTAACATTCGGGTGCCCCAGAGCTCCATCCTGGGCCCTCTCTCCATGGGTCATCCCATTTGGTTCCATGGCTTTAACTATTTCTGCATTGATAGTGTTCATATTTCTATCTCCAGTCCAGACTCTGGCCCTGAGCTCATGCAGCTAAATCCCCATTAAGCTTTTCCACTTGCAAATCAATTAGGCATTCACATTTTACCCGTGCAGAACATTACTGTTGGTTTTAGCTCATCAGTCTCTTTACCCCCAGCGCACAAAATGCTTAAAAATATATGCCTGTTGGGAGCCTGGGTGGCCCAGTCAGTTAGGCCTCTGCCTTTGGCTCAGATCATGATCTCAGAGTCCTTGGATCCAGTCCCTTATCAGGCTCCCTGCTCAGCAGGGATTCTGCTTCTCCCTCTCCTTTTGCCCCTCCCCTTGCTTGTGCTCTCTCTCTTGCTCTCTCTCAAATAAATAAATAAAATCTTTGAAAAAAACATACATGCCCATCTTGGTTTGTAGCACAGCTATCTGCCCAGTTGCTCATACCTCACAGAGTCCACCAGTAAGATTCACAGGTACCACTTCCAGTCCAGTGACTCCCGGTTATCTCCGTTTTTCCTTAGTCTTTCATCCCACTCTGGTCTATTGCCCAGATGATTACAGCAGCCTACATACGGGTCTGACACTTTTTGCCTTTTAATGTTTTTTAATCACGAAGTAGCCAAAGTGCCCTTCCAGAGTCTTAGTTCAGTTCATGGCTTGAAATCTTCAACTGCTTCTCACTGAATAAAATCTAAATTCCTTACTGTGCCTTATAGTGTTCTATATGATCCGGTCCTCTGACCTTTAATCTTTATGCCTTTTATTTCCTCTTTGTTCACAACACTAAGCCATGTTGGCCTTTTCCTTCCTTCCTTCCTTCCTTCCTTATTTGAGAGAGAGAGAGAGTGCGTAAGCATATGAGTAGGGGGCAGGGAGGGACAGAGGGAGGAGGAGAAGCAGGCTCCCCACTGAACAGGGAGCCTGATGTGGGACTCATCTCAGCACCCTGGGATTATGACCTGAGCTGAAAGCAGCTGATCAACCGACTGAGCCACCCAGGTGCCCCTCTTTCTTTCTTACCTCATGAACACATGAAATTCATTTTTGTCTGAAGAATGTTTTGCGTTTGCCTTTCCTTCTACTTGGAATACTGTTTCCCAATGTCTTTGCACGGCTACCCGGTCTCTAGTAGGGTGGTCTGCTATTAGAATGGTTAAGATCGGCCACTCTAAGGAAGTACGTTTGCATTTAGAGTGGCCTCAACCAGTTAACCTAAAACAACTGCTTCTACATCAGTACATTATTCCCATATTTAATCTTTTCAGTTGGATGTTATTGTTATATTTATATATTTATTGATTAGCTCCTCTCTAATATAACCAAGAATATAATCCTTGAAGGCAGGGACATGGTTGATATGAAATGTCAAATTGGTTGATCATCGACATATACTCAGATTATAATATTAGGTAGTTTGTATCAGTGTCATCCAGTGGTATAAAGAACTATGTTCACAGTTTACAGGGGAGAGAATCAGATCTGAGTGGAGACTTGTGATATCAAGACATAATTATGAACTTTCTTTCCTAGATTGATGGAAGTTCCACTAAAGAACTATTCCTAAATAGGGGGAAAACTTAAGTTTATCAGTAGGATTTAGTTGATCAAAGATGCTTATGTTCATCTCAGTTTTGTTGACTATCTCTGCTAAAGTTCTAAGAACAATAAATTGTAATTTTAAATGACATTGTCAGATAGAGGTTCCTTTACTATGGGCCACTTTGTGCTTTAAGTTGTTGCCATCTGAATGGTGTTTCATCCTTGGAAAAAAAGCACTGTAATGCCAGCGGGATTTCAAAATAACAGCATAAGAACAGTGCTGTATTCGTTAGACTTTTTTAGTACCCCCAGCTTTTAAAGTAGTTGTCTTTACTGTAATGCCATCCCATTCACTTGGAAATCAGATTTGATACCTAAAGTAGAGGGTCTTATTTTTTTTGACGATCTGCCCTGCCTCTCTCTGTGGAACTCCCAAGTCCTCCAGGAAAAAGATCAGTTTATTTCCAACCAGTCTTTGCCTCAGAGTTTCTCCTGCTGTTACCCAGGAGTTAGAGGGAGTGGAAGAGGAGATTTTCTTCTCTCTTTTTTTCCCCCGCATTTTGACCCAACGTTTAAGGAGGAGGTTTTCTAGACTTAACAGCTATAGCTTTGCCCACTGTATCTCAGATACTAAATACCTCATCATTCTTTAGTTGTCTTGTCCAGGTCTTGCTTCAAGTGGGGAGCCCAGAAGTATTTCCAAGCCCATGCTTGAAAATGGTACAGTTATCATCTTCCTCTTCTAAATAACATACTTGTACCAAAGTAGCACATTATTGTACTTTTTTGTAAAGGCCATTATTAGCTTTTTGGGCCTCTGGTCAGTTAGTATGCCCTTTTTATTTCCTTGTTTGTTTACATTCTTGGCAATGCAGTTCATTTATTATTATGTTTTCTGTAAAAATACTTAAATAAGGAACTTTAGATTGA